AGCAACACATGACTGTATTTGCTACAATGATTTTTTTCTTGAAAACATCAGTTTTTAAAACATATTTATAATACAGTCAATTAGTGTTTTATAAGATGATTTTTATACTATCCTAATGCCAGGAGCTGGTAATCATCACGTGCTTCGATTAACTTGAAAGTGAAAAGATTTACCTCCTTCTAGGAATCTGGTCTAAATATTAGCAGACTGAGTACTCTCCCTTTAATTTTATGAATTTGCGTTGAAATTGTTGTACCACTGGCTTGATGCATGAGTCTATTGTCTCAAACAGATGCAGACGACTGGAAGATATAGTCCCCATTTTTGTTTTCTTTACTATCTCCTACTGCACTGGAAAAGCCATTGCTACTCACTGAATACTTGTTAAATGAAGAATTGAATGTATAGCCCCTAGGTTAATTCTAACTTTTACTCTTAGCATCAAGGTGAGCGATTAGCCCAGGGTCACAGTGAGAAGAACTTTGATACTTCTGAAGAACCATATGTCCGAAAACTGCCAAATGTATAAATAAATGGTCTCTACAGATCATTGGGTTCCACATCCAGAAATTCTAATTTACTAAATCTGGACTGATGGAAGAGGTTGAACTGGGTGAGATTCTACTAGCATAGGAGTCAGCAAACTCTGGCCCACAGGTCAAGTCCAACCCATGACCTGTTTTTGAACGACCAAAAATCTAAGAACAGTTTATACATTTTTTTGATGGTTGAAAAAAAATCGAAAGAGCAGTACAATTTCGTGACGTGAAAATGATGTGAGATGCAAATTTTAGTATTCATAAATAAAGTTTTACTGGGACACAGCCACGCCTATTTTTTCACGGATTGTCCACGGCTGCTTTCATACTACGCTGGCAGAATTGAATAGTTGCCACAGAGAACACCTGGCCCGCAAAGCCAAAAATATTTACTATCTATCTGGCCCTCTACAGAAAAAGCTTGCTGACTCTTGCTCCACTATATCTTTCTGGCCCCCTTAATCCATTTATATGCATTTCTTCCTTTAGTGTGCAAATGGAAACTGAATTTCGGTTCATTAATAGAAGCAAGAAACCTTTAGCTTTGCCTCCAGATGTTATTCTTTTTCTTTCTCTTGAGAATCTTGAATGTTCTATATCTAGATTCTCAAAGCTAAAGAATAATGAGGTAGAATATGTTTTATCCATTACCATATCCCTTTACTATGAGAATCCTGAAAGTGTGGTTTTCCCTTTAGGTTAGAGAACTACATTCCTTTTCTAGTCACACTCCATTTTTAGTTCACACACAGGCTGTCAGCTCCATAGAACAATGCCAAATGAGATTCTTAGGATCTCTTAAAAATCCCTTCCAGTTTGGTTTCTCTCCATATCTCACTCAGGTATTTTCCTCAAAAAGGCCTAGGAATAATGGAATAACCTGTGATTACGAACGGCGTGTTCGACTTCCCTGTTTGGTGTGTCTTTGTGCTTTGCAGCATCATAGCTTTCTTGGGTTTAGCAAAAAGAAGTGGGACAACCTGTCTTTTGTAGGCAGAAGCCATTCTGAAATGGCAGGGAGACAACGGGAGGCACAGTGGGAAATATTCTCACTTCTTTACATCATTCATTCACTCCTGCACCGCATGTGATATGGCTTCTTCTATCCCATGGAAAGTACTCTACATATGGTCACCGATAATCTCTTAACTGCCAAATCCAAGGGCCACGTCTGTCATCATCTTGAGGTCTATTCCGAAACATCTGACACATCGATCGCTCTACCTTATTTCAAACTCTCCCTCCTCAGATCCCAGAACAAAATCCAGTCCCGATGTTCCTTTTATCTGAAAAGTCCTTCTATCTGGTGGACTCTCTCTTCTACCTGTGCTTCCCAGATTGTGCATTTCCAGGGTTACAACGGAAGACCTCTGTATTTCGTTTCCGTGTGTCCATTCTGAGTAAGCTCAGTGACATCTATGTTTTGGTTACTAACTACATTTCAGTGACTGTATTCTTAGCTTGCTTGAGAGTGCCATAATTCACCTAGTCATTCTTAACTCCCTACTTTCTTCATTTTCAGCACTTACAAACTGTTGTTTTCAACAGTCATTTATTGCTCCATATGTTTTGAGTTTTCTTTTCCTCCATTCCCACTGTTACTTCCTCTTTTCGGGCCCTTATCATCCCTCACTTGAACTATTTGCACTAGTCGTCTGCTAGTCTCCCTGCTGTCTCTGGTCTTCTCTCTCTAACCCACCTCCAATATTATAACAAGTGCTATCCTCAGGACGGTAACCGTATCACTGTCTTTCCAAAAGCCTTCAATGGCAACCATTTTCTCAAGTGATAAAGTCCAAATTTTTTATGTTGATTATAGCATTAGGTCTAGTTTCTAATCTTGCCTCCTGTCATTCATTCACCAGTTGTAGTCTTCACTTCATTGGTGCAGAAAGACCGGTTTTTCTGGAACCTACACACCTTTGCTCTGATTATCATATTCTTCACCTTTACCACCATCTGGACAAATCTCAACACATCTCCCAAGCCCCACTTCAAATATGGTACTCCCCTTCCCAAAATTAATTACCCCTCCTCTTTGCCATCGTGGGGGTTTGCATACCACTCAAGGAGAGCATATTTTGCAGGGTACTATAGTTGTTTACATGTTTTTCACACAGCAGACGATGTCTCCTTCCCCTTTGTGTTTTCAGTGCATAGCTCAGTGTCTGCCTTACCAAAAGTCTCCAATGAATGAATATGTCCAAGCTATATGTCTGTACCTACACCATGAGCCCTCTAGATTCTGTTACAAGGCATATTAGAAACGAATGGTGCTGTCAGCAGCCAATAGGGCAATTATCAACAGGAAAGGTTTATTTCCTTCTCTTGATATTTTATTTGCATTGAATCTAGGCTAAGTGTATGTGGCTACAAATAGTCACTCATGAAGTCAGATGTGGGAGGAATAGTATTTTAACAGAGTGGAAGAGGCGAGACTTCCAAATGTCACTATTAGTGATTAAGTCACGTATATTAGAGATAAAACTTAATTTCTCCTATTAATACCAAGAGAGTTGGGTAAGAAGTTAGTGTCTTAGTCACATAAAGAATGTATATATGTGTGTGTGTACATATATATGTATATATATATATATAATAAAGTATGTATATATTTTAATACGATTATTATATTACTAAGTCACATATTTTATATCCATCCTCAGAGAATTATCATTTTAATAAGTCCAATAATAAAGACAGGGATTGAGCAGAACACCCATAGAGTTTAACAATTCCTTATTGAATTCAGAAATCGCACATATAAAAAGCTAAGTAATAGTATAAGGCAGTTCGAGGCATTCCAATTAACGGCGAATAATAAGTGAGATTCTATTTTGTGTTTCTTTTTGCTCTGCTATAGCTCTTTGCATGTACAGGGTGTTTAATAAGTACTTGCTGAGTGAAAGAAGTGACCGTGGAACAGAGGCCAATTGGTAGTAATTTTTCAATTGCACTTTCTTTGCTGTGTGCATTAAAATGAAATTGAGTCTCGATCTGTTTATTGACACCAGCTAGTTGTAGATAAGCGTAAGAATTGATCCTTAATACTTTCACAGATCTCATTTATTATTATTATTGAAGATCAAGCTTATTTTTACCTTTCAAATTTAAAATCAAAATTAATAAATACATAAGTAGTAAAGATATTAAAATATATAAGTAACAAATCCATAAAAATGCATATAATTTAAAGCTATGTAGAGTCTGCTACTCAGTTGAAGGCTTCGTCAGTGTTACTGAGATTCATTGGGTGAAAACGTAGATAAAACTCTTTAATGACGTGAGTCTAAATACTCCGGAAATCTTAACCATCTTCTTTTCAGTGGAAGTGAATTGCTTTTATACGAGGCCTAGGTTTTCCAGTTGGAAGGAAATCATCTGAAGACATGGTTCCTTCTAGAAGTTGTTTTAGAGTCTTTTTCAAAAGGAGGCTTAGGTGATTCCACAGGCCTCCAGGTTCGTTGTGGTGGAGTACAGGTGATCTGTACATCATTGCTCTTTGGGCGGATTTATAATATGCACCAGGCTGCCCAGATTTACCCGTCGAAACTTCTTAAAGCTTAGCAAGATATCTTTTTCCTTTTTTAACAAAAGAATGGACGATGATGATTCTAACGCATCTGTTTTTCTGTGTCTATATATGAAGGTAAATATTTTCATAAATGTGCTTAAAAAACATTAGAGTATTTTAAATGGCCATCCCTGATGTCCTCTCCTTTGCCTTTTCTAGTTTGGAGCTCCAGCTTAGGAAAATAGTCATATTTTAAAGCAGGTATAGATTTTTCTAAAAGTTTTTCCAGTACAAGAAAATTGGAATCTCACAGACCTGCACGTACTTATTTTATCTTCTCTTCTCCCTTTATTTGACCAAAAAGTTTTGATTCCCCTAGTAATAATCTTGTAGAATTACTATGTAGCTTGACACAATGGCTGTGGCAAGTTTTGTTGTTGTTTTCAAAATCACACGTGTGTAAAAATAAAGAGAAATGTTTATATTTATTGATTTATTTATGTTAAATTTATTAGGGTGACATTAGTTAATAAAATTATATAGGTTTCAAGTGTGCGATTTAATAATAATGCGTCATATGTATATTGCATGGCGCGTTCACCACCCAAAGTTAAATTTCCTTCTGTCTCATAGTTAGATAGAGTTAATACAACAGGTAATTCTTCCAAAGACGTTGGAAATTGAATTTTACACCTCCATTCTCATCTTAGAAGATACATTGACAGTGGCTCAGTACATGCTTTGCTCATTCGTCTTATTGGCAGTAATACCAGATGCACTTCATTTAATCGAATAGCTGTGTTCTTGAATGAGTAAATAAATATTATTCAGAGTTGACCTATTTACATGCACTAGAAGAACTTGTCATTTGAACAACCTTAGTTTATTATTTCAGAGATTATACTATATTGCAAATAATCCTTTATTCAGATTTTCATATATTTAGCTTTTTTTTTTTTTTTTAATACCAAGGCTTACATCAAAAAAGTCAACTTTCTATGAGTTTGAACTACCAATTTGGTGGACATTACTTTTTTTTTTTAATTTACTTTCTCTTTGAATTATTTTTGCTACCATGGGAGAATGAACAAGGTTAGTTAGTAGAGAATGAGCTCATTTCTGCTGCTCCAGCTATTTTTAGAATCTTTGCTTTTAAAAAAAAGTGGTTGGAGGGAAAAAATGGACCTGCAACCAGGCTCACCCTGGTCTCCATTAGCACAAGCACTGGTGAGTTTAATCTCTTCTGTTTTTGCCTTTAGTTTTCAATAAAACTGTTTTCTTTCTTTTCCCCCTAAACTTGTTATATAAGAGTATAGTAGTTACAGATCAGTCTGTATAAATACATGTTTATATGAATACATGTTTGAATACATGTGAATACATGTTTATCATATGAATGCATGTTTCTAAATAAATTACTTGGTTATTTTGGTCTGTTAGTTAAATATGCACTTAAGACATTTTAAAAAAATAGAAATTCTCTATCATGTTTTTCATGGAATGGATTCAAAGTTGCTGCAGATTTAGTCAGTCATTTGTATTTAAATATTTTCAGGAGTTTTTGCATCAGAAGTTTATACCCACATCATAGTCTAAAGTAAAAATCAGTTAGCTATATTAAAACGGTGATAGTAGATATCTCATTTGCTAATTCTGTATTTGTCAATAAGTTACTTTGCACAAGGCAATGTTAAATACTCCCATTCCCCTCCTAATTTCAGTATGTACTCGACTATATATCCAATTCTTTTTTTCAAGAAAGCCACATCCTAGGAATCCAGAAAGGAATTCTAGACTGGTAATTCTCAGTTTCTCTTAGTATCATTTATAAAGCAGACAAAACAATTTCTGACATCCGATTTTTGAAAACCATAAAATCAGTTCACCACTAAAGTCCAAACTTTCTAAATCAAATTTTGACCCAAGAACAAATACTTTTGTCATTTATAAACCTTTGAAATTAGGGTTTTGAGTAGAACTTTCCAGACAGCCTTCAACAAAGCCGTGTCGACACACATCCCTAAAGCACATTGAATTACACAGTACCCCATCGTGTATGAGCAGCATTTGCCACAGAAGGAAAAGTACTTAACCCTTGAGCAGGTCTGTTGGTGGAGAGGTGACAGGTGGAATCCAGCGAGGGTGCTGGACGAGGGTGGGTGTGAGGTGTGTGCATTTGAGGGTGCAGGGAGCTCTGGGCTCTGGGTTGCAGGGCAAGGCACTCTCTCAGTTCTTTGCAACTCTGGTGTGTGAAGTGATTTATGGGAGCTGCAGCCCACGGGCCATACATCACCTTCCTGGTTGGCTTTGTTGACACCTTGTCACATTCTTGCAGGGCTTGAGGAATTCATTGTTCTTGTTTAAACTGATAAGAACAAAAAGGGAAAAAAAGGTTTTCTCACTGAGACCTTGGGAAAGGCGAGGGGGTGGAACATTGATGTAGAGCAGCAGGGCTTCGCTTTCCCAAGCAATGCTTCCTGTGCATCTGCCACATTCGTCCTTCCCAAAGAAGCTGTGCCATTAGGTGTGCCAGCTGCAGCTTTATTTGCCCTCTGAAAGTAGTTTTCTGGTGGCGAGGTGATTCTTTTTGCTGGAATCACACTGCGGAGAGGGGCTTTGCAAAGAGGATGGAAGGAAGGAATTTTCCTTCAAGAAGTAGAAGATAGAATGGCTGAGAGGAGATTCCAGGGGAAGGTAAAATGACCCTGGTCACTGGGGGAATGTAAAACATGCGGTTACTTTTGATGCGAGCCCGTCTCTTCGAAGTTCATCTTTTGTACAGCGTGCTTTTCGGGCACGATGCCATGCTGACCTCTCTCCCCTTTAATGTGTAGTGCCCCATGCCTCACTTAGTCTTTTGGCAGCCTGCACGCAGAGGCTGGCATCTGAGCCCAGCACTTGAAGACAGCAAAGAGTTTCGGAATGGGAGCTCATCGAGTCACTAGTTAAAAGGTTGTGCGATATATACGTAGAGCATTATCTTTCACTGCAGTGGAGCAAATGAATGATCTACCTGTCTTTCTTAGATGTCTTTAGCATAATATCTCTGCTATCCTTGCTTTAAAAAATAATAGCTTAAAGTCCTTTTAAAAGTAAATTTATTGGGGTGATATTGGTTAATAACATTATATAAGTTTCAAGTGTACATTTCTATAATACATCATCTCTATATTATACCGCTCAAAGTCTAGTCTCCTTCGGTCACCATATATTTGGCCTCCTGACCCCCTGTACCCTCTTCAACCTCCCTCCTGTCTCTTTCTTCTCTGGTAACCCACCTTTCTGCTGCCCGTGTCTGTGAGGTTGTTTGTTTTGTTAAACTCTTTTTCATCCAAGAAAAGTAACAGGTCAGATCCCAAGTACCACATGGGATTGTAAATGTGCATACTTCCTTTGTGAAAATAAATGTGTGGTTGTTTTTTTTTTTTTTTTTTTTGGGAGCAGTTTATCACAAATGTATTCTATCTACTAATACTCTTTATCATCAGTTTTGTTGATTGGAAGGAGAAGAACCTATTCACACCCCAGCCAAGGGCAAGGTGTCCGGGGAGTTCTTGAATTTTTGTGTTACACTGTTAACAAGTTCATGTGTAATGTCATAAATCACTTTACCTGGAAGTGACATTTACACATCCCCACTATGAACCTCATTTTGAACTGGAGCCATAAAAGCCATTTTCAAGCTTTTTAAAATGGCTCTCTGCAACCGCATATCCTGTGGAATGCATATGTATAAACTGCTTCTTGCATTTGGTTGACCAAGCAGTTCCTATGCTGCAAACAAGGGGTGCTTGAAGAACTGCCAAGGTAGGTGGCCAGAAAATGGGATTCAAGAGTTGACATTGTGATAACATGGAATGCAAATGAAAGCGGCCTAATAAATGTATAATAGTACAGTAACTGCATGATTAAAATAAGAAATTGGTTTTGCAAAAGCATGCACTTTTTCTTTTGTCATCTATCTTGCTATAAAGTGCCATTTTGACAACATTAGAATGCCTAAATATGTGCAATGCTGTCAACATCAGCATCTATCCAGTTTTTAAAATTTACAAGCCCAGTTTCCCCCTTTTTTTTTTTTTTTTTTTTGCAACTCTGATGAGCCTGCCAGTTCTGTCTTTGCCTTTTTCTTAGCTTGGAGGCTACTCTGGTTTTCAGAATTAAGTTTATTGACAGTGTTTCACTGCTCTCTGCTGGAGGAGCCCAAAGTGAGGCCAGGCTTCCAGGGCTCCAGTCACTTGCAAAGAATGCAGGTGAGATGGCTCAGCTGATAAACTCCCAGCTCCTGAAATTCAACCTAACACAAGACTTATTGATGCTGGTCATAGACCACAGTTGAAGAGCTATGTTGTGCAGACTAGAGATGGGGTTTTCTTAGAGGGGAGGGTGGTTAAGATGAAAATGGAGCACTGCCCAGACTCCAACTTCTTACTCCAAATGTTGCCCAGTGTGAAGATATCCTATGTAATGGTGCACGGAGACTGCAGTTTCCCCAGTTAACGTTCATCCTTCCGTTTTTGACACATAGATGTACATTTTACTCTACTGTAGACACCTGAGGTCACCCCCGTCCTACCCTCCAAAGAAAGGAAATAAAGCTTTTTTGACCAAACTTTATATTTTTTTTTCTAAACTTATTCGTTAGTATGTGCATGACTGGAGAAGAAAAGAGCAAGAGTATTTATATTTACCGAGTTAAGCAGTGAGTGTGTTAGGACATTTTTTTTCTAAAACTTTTCTAGACGGGAATAAATATTAATTTACATTTTCATTTTCATGAACACAAAACTGTACCTTAGTTTCAATGTTCTACTTCTCAAGTATGGAACAAAAGTACACATACAAAAACAAAGACACTTGCAAAGCAGACACTTCAGGTGACTATCATTTTTAGTATATATATGGAAAATGTGTATACACACAGTTATGCACATGTGCATGTGTGCTTATACATATATTATACGTACATACATATATTTTGAAAGGATAGAGAGAACAGATTTAAGCATAACACATCTCCAAAGTATTTTATGTTCTTTTCAGTCTGGCATCTTTTAACTGAAAAACAACTCGATGAATAGAAATCGTAAAAAGCCACCCTTACAACAGCATTAAAGTGCTATTCTATTCTGCAGCATTCCAAGTGAATTATTGCTGTGCTGTCAAAGAAAACAAAAACATTTGGGAAAGACTGTTTATTTTACAGTGGTTGACCAAAAGTATGCAAGCGGTTATAAAAAAATGTAGACGGCTAACGATGGGAGGTGCCACTTGCACATTCTGAAATCCATTCACAAACCTTCGACACTAACTCTCTATCACTGGCGATAATATTAGAGGCAAAAGCATTTTCCGTGGGGGAAAATCCTAACACTTTCAAAATATTTCAGTTTAAAGCAATAAATAAAACTCCCATCTCCATTCTCTGTCTCCGGCATCGCCTCACAGAGCCCGATGGCACGATATTTTTTTTTCCCCCAAGAAGAGCAAGGAAAATTTTGCAAAACTATTTCTCTCAGAGGTTATGGCAATGAGCTATTTTTGTGCTGCGCAGCATGTATTACCCTTTGTGTTTAAAGATTAAAATAAACGCTGCCATGGACAATATTAAACTTTCGTTCAACAACTACTTCGTTTTAGAAGTAAATGAGAAATTAGAAATCCCTAACACAGCCCCTTCATAATAAAGATAATAAAATGTATACTCAGAGAAGCTAAATGACTTGCTTAAAGTGCAAAGCTAGGCAGTATGGAGGGATAAGAGAAATAGAAAGTTACTGTCTGTGTTGTGGTATGTTTTGCTTGAGAAGCAGACTATATATAGTCAGAACCTCACTGATACCTCCTGGTAAATGCTTATTTTAATATTTAAGAATTTCTCATTGGTGACGAGATTCTTTTTCTAAGAATCTAGATCTTGAGTTTTAGGTCTCTTACTTTTTTAAAGGAAAACTCACTGATAAGTCAGGATCCATTTAACTTTCTGGTAGATCATTAGATACAGTTTTGAGAAATGGCTCTATTTATCATTATCATATGGTAAGAGATACAAAAAGCTCCTTGATATGTCTAGCATGATTCTGTCACATAAAACCACTCAGTAGATATGGATTGAAAGAATGCCTTTAGGGAAATGGTTCAAATTTCCTTTCTGTCGGTGCCAATGCAGCTTGTTTCTGGGTGGTGTGTAAATTGGGAGGAAGGCGTTACATTTCAAGTGTCTCATTTGTGGTACAGCGAGTTGACAATTTACCACCATTCACATGTATTAGATGCTTTAGGCATCTGGCTTTCCTAACGCTTTGCCCCCGGAGTGGAGAGAGTGAAAGGAAGAGAAGGAGACAGAAGCAGAACTACTTGCATCTCTGCCCCCTACCTCAGCAGCTCCTTCTTCTTGTCTCTGAGGATCTCCAGAGTCTGAGAGTTTTGTGTGGTGTTGGCCCAACAAACAGTTGTCCTCTTGATGGCTCAGCTGTTTGTGTCTCCTGAGTGAAACAGCATCAGAATTTTTTTCAGATGTAGCATCTGCCTTCTTCCCTCCGTGACATCCTGGGTTAGTCACGTGCTGGCTGGCCAGGATATGTAAATAAAACTTGGCTAAAAAACACTTAAAGGATTATGAAGCAATCTTGCTTAATAGTAGCAAAACAAAACAAAACAAAAAACCACTCCAGCAAATCCTCCTGTGTGCTACTTACTAAGCAGTGGAAAGATCCAGCTATGACTGGAGCTGTCTCGACCTGAGTATTGTCCTAGACCCAGAAAGAGCTGGAGAGAATGACAGGGAGAGGAGAAACCGTGCGGAAGGAGAGAGCTTGACTCACTCGCCGCCCTCTGCCTCGCTGCAGACAGCGCCACACGTATTCCCTCCCGGCAGTAGCTAATGAGAGCGGCATGCTGGTGAAGCAAGCCTGCTAATCCCGGAGCCCTCCTCTCACGCGTGTGCTGGGATGGCCGGTTCACTGCCGCTTACACATCCTCGAACTGCACACTTTTTCCCATGGCTCAGAGGTGGCCTGGCCCTCGGTAGGTCCCCGGGGAGTTTCCATGTTGCAGAACGCGTTGAGAGATTCAGATTGTGGGGTTCCCATGTGGCTTTTGCAATTGAATGTCTCCATCTCCTGTCCCTGGACAGTCGGTTGCTGGCCTGCCTCTGAGTTGTCTATCGCCAAAGCTGTCTGCTCTGACCGGAGGGAAATGAGCGTGGAAACCCCTTGTGCCTGTGTGTGCCAAAAGCAACCTTAGTCAATGAAAGAGCTCGGCAGACGGCGGGGTCCTGCGTGCCGACCTTTCTTGCTGCTCCTATGAGAATCATGCGCTGCTATTTCTGTGGCTTCTGCCAGTTGGCCCCTGCCCACCTTTTCTGTTCTTACTAAAGCGGCCAGGAACTGAGCGAAAGAGGAAGCCTCGGCTGTACTCCCAGCTGCGCTGCCAGGAGTGCGTCTGTAGTAGGTCCAGCAACACAAACAAAACAGGGCAGAGCCCGGGGAGGCCGGCCAGAGCAGCTGAGTGTGGAAACAAAGGAGCCCGTCCGTCCGCAGCCACAGCTTCAGCCGCAGCCGCAGCCGCAGCTGCAGCCGCAGCCGCAGCAGCAACAGCAGCAGGGGGCCCTGGAGTAGCAGGCCAGGGGACCTTCCAGAGTGGCTGCATCCTCTCAAAGATGGGACACTGAGGCCCAGAGAGGATGTGCATACCTGAGCAGTGCCCCGAGGGCCCGTGCACACTGCTTTTGATTTTGTCGCTCCACCGCTAATGATGTAACCCTGGACAGCTTACTCTCCCCAGCCTCAGTTATCTCATCTGCAAAATGGGGATGAGAATAATACATTACTCCCTCCTTCTAAGGATTTGTTGTGAGAATTAAATGAGAAAGTGTACACAAAGCACTTGCATGATGCCTGGCACTTAGGAAGCCCTCAGTAAACACAAGGACTTGAGATGCAAGCGGAGCAGGAAAGATAGGGAGTTGTTCATAAACACCAGCTCTGTCAGCACAATGTTTTTTTTTTTTTTAAAACAGGGTTGCTTTTCACAAGGCGGAGTAAGTGCACTTGAATTAAGATCTGGTTGATTATATGATTTTGTTTAGTTTTGATGTTATTGTAATGTTTAATCAAATGGCAGACACTCCTCCCCCTTCCAGGAAGAGCCCAGCTTGAATAACTAGGAAGCAGGTTATGTGAGCCATGGAATCGTTGCCCTTCAGACTTCCTGCATCTATGTTTATCCCCTTTGTGAAAGCGCATTTGAACCTTTCTGACCTGGAGTTTAAAATGGCCAACTTCGAAGTTATAGTCTGATGGAAAACACTTCCTAAAAGGTTGAATGATTGTTGTAGGGATAAAAGAAGAGAGGAGGTAGTGAATTATGCTGCATTTGGGGAAAACACTAATGACACGGTTTTTCGCCCTTCGGCCCAGGTATATGGAAGAGATAAGGAGCCAGCTTATGATACCACTTTTTCCAAAAGTGCTTTTACATCCAGTTCTGACACTAACTGGTCGTGAATCACTTAATAAAGATAATCCTACAATAACACTGACCATTTATTGAGACCTTACTGGATGTCAGGTATTGTGCAAAATACTCTAATATTTGTTAGTTCACTTAATTTCCACAAAACCCCATGAAATAGTTTCCCCCTTTTGTGGAAGTGAGGCTGAGAGGTTAGATAACTTGCCCAAGGCCACTTGGCTGAGTGCTCCCAGGCTTTTAGTCATTGTGCCATGTTCTGCTTCCCTTGTAATGTTAGCCCTAGCCTGAGCTGTTTTGTCGCTTGTAAATTAAAGGCTGGACGACACTATTGCCAAGGCTACTTCTTCCAAAATTCTAAATATTTCCAAAAAGAGACGCAGTTTAAAATAAGCAATCTTGCTTTCCAAATAAATGCTACTCTATTGAAATCAAGGAACCAGGCATCTTTGTCATATGTATGTATTATTTTAAGTTAGAGAATTCAAGAAGAGATTAAAAACTGGGAAAAATAATTTCATATGATATTTTGATATATATGCATGTTCCATGGCCCTTGGTAAAAATGAACATATTTACCAAACTGTGGCTGCCCGGTTGCTAACGACTAATCAATATTAATGCACAAGCATGTCTCCTTTTTCTGTCAAGGGCAAAATTTAAACTTTATTTGTGCTGGCCTTTATTTCTAAGGAAGGGTTGTAAATTTGTGCATATAATTTGCATCCTCAAAGTAAGCGGTCCAAATACCTCAACATTATTATTTTACTGGGTGAAATTTCTCTATCAAAATTTTCATGTCCTAACGGAATTATGCTTCTAAATTCTCAATATTTATTAGTATCTTTGAAGTTTTGTTAGTTCACCTCATCTAGATTAATATGTGCTAATAAACACTGCCTGTGTGACCTTGGACGTGTTTCCTAATCCCTCTGGGACTTAACTGCCTCAGCTACAGAAGGGGGATGGGAGTAGAATAATCACATTATTATAATAGGTTGTTGAGGACATTAAATGGGTTAATTATGTAAAATGCTTCAAATTGTGCCTGGCACCTAGTAAGTGCTATCAAAGTGTTAAATAATATTACTAATCACTTACGATTTCCAAACTTGGATTGTGCTCAGAAAGTTTTAAATCATAACAAGCCTTCCGAATGATTCTATTTTTAATTATTACTCAGCATTATGAAGTTTGCTGTTTTCATTTCTCTCTGTTGTCTGTAAATTACACTTGCATAGGAAGTCTTTTTTTTTTTTAATAACTTTTTATATTCTTCCATTTTATCTTCTCTCTGGCATTATAGTAAGCGGTGACTTACAGTTTGTATTTCTTTAGAATTTTATCTAGAGAAACTCTTGATTTTAAGCTGTGGCATATAATGGGTCAAATTACACTCACCGAATTGATTAACTCTGAACTGCAGATTGTTTTAGGTAGAATTTGTCCTCAAGTTTTTCCTTAGTGTCTGAGTTTCAGAGAAACATGTTCCCAGTCCCAGTCATGGTAAGTGACATCACGAGATACATATTTCTCAGATACAAAAGTTTGTTATGTTCTTTTGGCCAGAAGAGACTCCTCTTCCTGGGAAACGTAGCCACAGAATGCTGCGTTTGAGTTTTATTAATATCCTTGCAGATTGAAAACAAAATGTTTTCCCTCCCCGTTTTTGTTCTTTTCCATTTGGCAAACCCGATAAGTTACCACATGAGCCAATTGTGTGTTTCATTCGCTTATTTTCTTATGCACTAGCAGCCCTGGTGATGTCATCTACAATGTGTGCAGTCCCCGGGAATAAATAACATGCTGGAAAATAGTTTGTTTTGAGGCAACAGGATCATTTATGCATCTTACGGTACAGCGCACTCTAAATATCTCGAATCAATTTTTTAAAAAAAATAATTTCAAGGCAGGCTACCTCTCCCTTATATCTTGGCTCAAATGATAATAATAATCACAACAATGATATAAAAATGGTTTTTTAGATCTAATGACTGTGACTTGAGTCACATTTTCAAAATTATTTTAAAATTTGATTTGATGATATCAAATATCTATGCCATAAAAATGTCTTTTCTTAAAAAAAAAAAAAAGCAAATTACTAAGTTAAAAGATCAGCCTTATTAAAATTTGGCTTACATTTATATTTTTGTTGTTCTATTGTCACCATTCTTCAAAAATGTTCATTGACTAAAAAGAGTACATGGTTTTAAAGGGTTAGGATGCTGAGTGGAATTTAAAGTGGACTGTTCTCAAAATACTTTCAAGCCGACATTTCCCTTAAGGTTAAAGATTCTCTAGCGCCCTTAGTCCTGCTGCCTCTTCCTGGCGAGAGGCTTCTTTCGACCCATCATTCTTGCAGGGACCTCCTGAGAAGGACATCGGATTGAAAGACAACACAGAGGTGTTCCGAGAAGGAGCCACAAACCCAACCAGGGCATACCACTGAATTCAAGAGAAATTTCTGACAAAGCTTTTCAGTTTGCCAGCCGAGAGCCAACTGGCAGTGGTTACTTTCACTCTTTGCCTTATCTTCAACACACTTTTGCTATTTGAAGGCACAGTCCATTGAATTCCTCACTTACCATTTTATTCATGGCCTTCCTCCACCATTCTCTGATAAGCAAGCAAGACTCTCTTGAAGTATAGGTTGGATTATGAAGTTTTTGGAATTTTTAATGACTTTGAGCTCATTTAGAAAGTAATGCATGTTCCTTGTGGCCCAGAATTGTACAAGGCCAATTACCTCACTCTATTTATTTGGCAATTTAAGTGATGTCTTTTCTATAAAGAGCTCATTACACAAATGGCTCCCTGTGCAATCAGTGTTATTTTAGTGGGAATTTCAAAGACGAAAGTTTGATGACTTGCTCTAAGATCAGTTTGATGAAGGCAATGAAAATCTTAACTTGACTCTTTTTTCTGAAGTGGGCATTTCAGTGAATTACCAAATGAAGAGTATTAAACAATTTTATATTAGAATCTGTGAAATTCTAAAAAATTTAGAGAGTGATAGATCTTAACTTTTATCACAAAAGTAATTAAACAGTAAAGATTCTTTGGAGTTTGATCACTAAGACCCTATAAGAAGATACTTGTAGTTAACATGGCTTGCCATAGATCAGCTTTTTTTTTAAAACAACAACAACAACAACAACTTCTCAGTTTATTTCTCCAATTGTGTTCTCTTGCCTCTTACACCAAAGCATTATGTTTCTTTTGGATCACTTGTTAGGTTTTAAAGTTTCCACTTGCTCCCCCTCACTTACACAAACACACAATACGCCCCCCACATGCACCGCCCCCACACACGCACCTTCGCAATGTGGTTCTCCTGAGGTCCTCGATACCCTTTTCCGTAGCAGTTTAAGGGCATAAGATGCAGTTTGTGAGCTAGGGAGGCACAGATAGATATTTTCTTAAAAAAGGAACTTTTGAATAAAACTTCGTGCACACCATTGATTCATGGATTCATTCACCACTATGTATAGAATGCCTATAGTGTGTGAGGCATTTTGACCAGATTATCTCTAGTAACTCTTTTAACAAAGGTGGCTCAGGGACCCAGAGACTATCACTCATTTTTAGAGATGCTTGTCGGACTTCAGAGCCTGTGCTCTTTCTATCAGTAGTGAGCTGCCTTCCATGTACATGCTAGCAAGGACTACAAGCTTGATATCTTGTTTTACCATACTTTTGAATTTTATTGTCACCTTGCTCCAACCTACACCAAAATATCCAAAGTATTAAACATTTCTTAAATATTAATTGTTCTCATTTTAATCTCTCAAACTGTTGTATTATTCTAGTCACATAAACTCTAGTATCCACCTAGGTATTTAAGACTTATTTCATTTGGATTTTGGAAAGACTTATTGTAATTAACATAGAATCACAATAGGTTTTTTTTTTTTTTCCTTTAAGTTTCAAGACAGAGGGCTTCCCCCCTGCCCCCGCAAATCATGAGCTGCTAGTGTTATCTGGCATTTGTTCCTTTTCTTTTCCAAAATATAATCTGAGCACTGAGTGGAGGATGCTCAAATGCCCCATAGACGTCCAGACAATCTGTTATAGTAAATATATAGTAAATAACTGTACATACACACAGATGAAAACAGGTGAGTAGAGAGTTTCCATTACAAGAATGCTAATTGAAAACCCAGTATACAAGGCCAATCAAGACTAGGATAGAATGTTCTAGCTTTGCAAAATAGTTAACGAATAGGAGTATAACTTTAAAGAGGTAGGTAAGTAGCTGTTGACAAATCTTAGTCGGGACGTTGTTTAGGTCATGGGAAAGTTCATATCGGGGTCGTTGTGAGAGATCTCATTTCTTTCTCATAGTCACTCAGTGAGGTAGTACTATTATCATCTTCATTTTATTGATGAAGAAAGCAAGGTACAGATTGGTAAACTAATCTGCTGGAGAATTCAACAGCTAATAAGTGATAGAGTGAGGCAGTGCAGGCTGGCTTCAGAGACACTGTATGTGACTACCTATCTCTTTTGACAGCCTAGCCCCACTTACATGGCAGGTCACTCTGAAAACTTCTTCTGCCTTCTTCATTAAAGAAAAGCCAAGCTGTCCTTCTGCTAATTCTTAACCACTTTTATTTTTTCCATAATTGTTACAGATAATGGAGCTATACGACAACAACATCACCAGCTCACAGAGTACTTAAGTAGCAAAGAATCTTCAGATTCCTCTGGGCTAACTTTATCAGCAAAAACTCTTAAGGTGAGAGTTGCCCAAATCTTGAAAAGTATTCCACTACAAAGTTTAGTTGTTACCAAGTACAGGCTACTACTTAAGTACACATAGCATTAAAAACATTGTATTATCCCACTATATTCAAGTTTGATAGAGCAGAGACCATATTTTATGCATTTTTGTATGTCCAGCCCTTAGAACAGTGCCTGGGACATAATAGCTGCACAATTCGTGCTTGTTAAGTGAATGATGGACTGAATGAATAAAATAATAGGCCTTGGTTTTGAGTCCTTTCAAAGTCCCACTTAATCCTTCATTAACAGATTCTTGTGATTTGATCAATGTAAAGAAAAATGAGACCATCACCTTGTGTTGTTCTAAACACTATATTTCTATAATGCTGCTCAGGATGTAAATCTTTTCCCTTTTCGGCAGCCATGTCACACTCCTGACTCGAGCTAATTATATGTGCCATGAAAATCTGCCGC